AACATTGCAATTTTTCAAGACCTCCAAATGAGACCACTGCTACAGCCAGTGGATAATAATCTTATTCTGGTGAATGGTGCTAGCCTAGGCATTAGAGGAGATATGAATCTACAGATCAGTTTAGGAAGTGTCACCCACAGAATGAAGGTAGTCATTTCGAATCTTAGATCTGAAATTAGTATCCTTGTGATGGATGTACTGTGGAGCTCGTTTGTCAGTTTTACTCATGCAATGGATGAATTGGTGTTCCACATTATGGTCATCCAATGCCAACCAGATTGTTTCTTCTTATACACAAGCATTGTTCTGTGGTTTCTCATGAACAGTATTTCGCATCAGTGCCATGTAAAGCAATTATAGAAGTCATGCATGAGATGACCTATTTCCTGTCTAGAAAGCAGGAATAATTGGCTCGTACAGTTATCTATTTGATAAGGGATGAAAAACCAGTGTTGTTTTGTAATTGTGGGTGATCACCTATATAGGTGCAAGCACATCTGAGTCACTGATTGAGGATTGTTCTGAAACTCTACACCAACATAGCAAAAGCAAATCAGAAACTTGTGGGGTAAATACTCTGGCGTATTCGTGGAATCAAATAGATGATTGAATCAAACAATAGTGATTTAGCAACACATAGACCAGACAATGAATACCCAATAAATCAGTTACCACACTGGCTTCTTTGGAGCACTAGGAAGATTACAAATACTGAAATAAATCAGATGCTGTAGGATAGAGTCATACAACCTTCAGAGAGTGTTTGGTTATTGCTAGTAGTGATTGTCAGAAAAAAGGAAGGTATATTAAGGCTACATGCTAATTTCAGATGAGTAAACACAGTAATTTGCATTGACAGTTTTTCTTTACAAAGAACAAAAGAATGCCTAGATGTGCTAGAAGGTTTGTGTTAATTCAACACTTTGGATCTGGCATCTGAATACTTGCAAGTCGAGCTGAGTAAAGTAATCATATCTAAGACTGCTTTTAGCACAATAGACATTTTGTATGAATTCTTTGTTAGCCATTCAGTCTGTGTAATGTACCAGCTACGTTTAAGCTGCTGATGGTGATTACACTGAAACTATTTCAAATTTTCAAATTTCTGGTCGACTCTGCTGTTATTAGCAAACATATCTGATACTTCTCTAAAAATCAGTTTTATTTGAAAATCCCACACCTAGAAATCTAATCTGCAAACACTGAAAAAACATACACTTCTAAAAACATTTGTCACGTTTTTGATGCATTGGTACTTCAAGGTATTTGCATTGTTTTCAATATTTATACATTCTTTATGCAACAGAGTGCTGACCTGTTCGTTTTGTATAGTTTAGCATTTCTGTCCGCAATTTCAAAATGCTCACTAGAACAGCATCTGTGGCTTCCACTCTGAATTATATAAGTTTTTTTTAAAGTTGCCATGATTTTCTTTTGAATCGGACAGGTACTGGCTGTCTTCACGATTCCTTTGTAAGGAGACATTATGTTTCCCACAGAAAATGACAGTTTTAATGATTACTTCAGAATGGGGCGATTTTTCGCAATTCTATCCTGAAGGGCCTGGTTAATTTACTGGGTTTTGCTTGCATTGTATTACCTGTAAAAAGTCCATGACAACTTTTCTAGCAGAAAAATGATATTGTTACGTCTCCGTTTGTTAACTGATTTTCCGTAAATTTCGTTCCGACGAAACTTTAGCGACAC